AAATAAATAAAATACAAATAAACTACGACATACTGGACAAAAAAATTTTTGAAAACGAAAAAATCTCACTTTTTTAAACGCCCACATTTAGCGAACCAAGAATAGCAAATGTAGAGTAAAGAAAAATAGTCAAAAAAAGTGAATTAAGTATGTTTGTCCCCCCAAGAACTAGAATGGGAGGCAAATTCAACGTTGACAACAGGTACCCCCACCCAACAAAACAAATGAAAAATGTTGAGTAATTGTTGGCCTAAGTGTTGATATGATCCTAACTACCAACTCTATTTCGAAAAGACGAAGCAAAAAACTACCTATAACACAAATGTTAAAATTGTTTACATAAAAAACACGAGGTTGTCCATCCAAATAGCATGTTTACTGTGTGCCGCCGCTCTTCTGTCAATTGGCCGGTCTGCCAGGCAACAACAATCCATACAAGATTTTTTTAGGTTAGTTTGAAAATACAAACACGTGAAAAGTTGGCAGAAGATAATCAAACGAAAGAAGAATTAAAGAGAAACGAAGCAGAGTAAACAAAAGGGGTCTTGCGCTAGAGTTGAAGTTCCATGCAAAGCTAAAATAAAAAAACTACTCTCTCGTCATCTGCTGAACTTTCAGTTTCATCAAATATATTGTTGTAAATTTTGTTTTTCCACAATGTTGTCGTTTCTTGTTCTTCTTCTTCTACTACATGCTTGCTTCACTTTCGTTTCACAAAACAAGATCAATCGGGATCTATAAAAAAATACTATATACAGAATAACAACGTACAAACGAACAACATGAGCAATATATTGACATATTTGTTTGCCTCATTGGTCCGACTGTCTGTATATATAGCAGAGCACAATGTGTGTGTATTTTTCTTCTTCTTCGTTGTTGTCGAATAAACCACAAGAGCATGAGCGTGTATTTTTCACTGAGAGCTTGACAATTAAAAAAAACAGCAAGGGTAAATATAGAGTAGAGTAGATAAGAAGTATGAAACAGAACACAATGTGTTTTGATCAGATTTGATACGGGGGAAAAATTGGTACACATTTGTTGACCATTAGTCCAAAATATGATTTTTTATGACAATTTCTATAAAAATTGCAAAATTGTGATGAAATACATATTGCACTCATGTCAGTGTTTCAAAAGTCAATTCCATTGCGTATATGTCAAAAGAAGTCCACTGGATTTAGGAGACGATTTAATTTGAAAAATATGAAATGAAACTGACAGTTGAAATCCACTTGATTTAGTCACTGTAAACGTACTTGAACTTTAAATAAATTCGGATAAAAACATCATAACCCGTCAGAAAGCTCTAAAGTAAACATGTTTTGAAATATTCTGACATTTTTGTACTTTTGACATGGAAATGTTTTTGTTTAGGCAAAGCAACCACCTGGTCACAATTTTCTTTCTAAGTGTGGACGACTTTTTCCAATTTTGTGTACATATTTATTGTTTTTAAAAATAAAAAACAAAATATTTTCAAAACAATGATAGGAAGAAACGTACATGGCGGGGCGCGTATTAAAGATATGAACCAACCTTGTAACTGCAACACTTAAAATCATATTTCTGAGGAATAATCCAGGCTTTAGGTCATTTTTTTCGCGTTTTTCACTCTTTTTGAAAATAATATCAAATAATTGAGAACTTGTTGCAGAAAGAATTTTTGTCAGAGCATATTATTCATGTTCTGATCTATTGAGGAATGCATATTTGAGGATTATTTCACTTTGAGAACTTTAAATTAAATTTGAAATAATTAATTTGGGTTACGAGTTTATACTCTAGTTTTGATTTCTCAGCTTGTTTTCACCATAGTATGGAGGGTTTATTAAGTCTGTCATTCCGTTTGTAACATGTCGAAATATACATTTTAGACCCCACAAGGTATTCTTGATCAGCATAAAAATCTATTCTGTCGATTTAGCGATGTCTGTCCGTCTGTGCAAATCACTCTAGCTTCCGAACGAAATGAAATAGGTTGAAAAAATTTTTACTCAAATGTATATTATGTCTGCAGGACTTTTGGTATTGAAAATAGGCCATGTAGGTCCTCGTTTCGGTATAGCCCCCATATAACGGAACCTCCCTATTTTCAGTATTTTGGTTATTTTAGCGACATTATTCACCGGTAATGTTTCAAATTTGGTGTTGGAAGTTCGAAATGGATACTACAGCCTATGACAAAAATTTTTGTCTACGTCTTCGTATAGCCCCATTTTACGGTAACTCCCGTTGTTCGGTATTTTGATGATTTCAGCTACATTATTCACCGGAATCATTTCAAATCAGGCAGAAAATTGTCAGTGCAAGTTCACGTGATATTAGCGATTAGATTATTCACCAGAATTGTTTCAAATTTGATATTTGAAGTTCTTTATGGGTACTACAGCCTGTGACAAAAAATTGTCTGTGCATGCCCACGTCTTCGTATAGCCCAAACATAACGGTACCTCCCGATTTTCGGTATTTTGTTTTTTTAGCATTAACTGTGTGTTTTGTTTCAATAGTTACTGAAAATAATTCGATGTCAATATAATTTTTTCAAAAGAAGTCTGTAGAGAACCTGGAGACTGTTTCTACAGTATCTGTAGGGTATCTTGGACTTTTGGTATCAGATACTTAGGAGGGGCACAACTCAGCACAGATTTTTCTCGGTATAGTGGCAATGATACTGGGAATAAATTGCCGGATCGGATATCGAAAACATCAGCTCAAAATGAGTTTGTGAGACGTCTATATATTGCTACACCTTTGACAGGGACCTTAGTCAACCCTTGTCAACAATCTTTAAAATTTGTTTTTATATTTTTGATGTGGAGTCGCAAGAAAAGCAACCGGAGTTCATGGGTAAAAAAGGGGGAGGAGTATTGAAAATCAATGTTCCTGAAAATCAACCTGTCAACGGTGTACCTGTCTTGACCAAGCTCTGGCTACACCGATAGTGGGCTTCTCTAACTCCTTTTTTGAGTTGCCTACAAAAATCGGTAACTTTGAAAAGAACAATTTTGATATAAAAAATAAGTTAAAGTAGACAACATTGACATCTATCGGCAGGTCTTAGCGACTACTTTGACACCGACAAATTTCGTAAATTACCAAAATTATAAGACTTTTGTCGGTATCTCAAAAAATGAGTTGGAGAATTCCACTACGGGGCTCAAAAATGTAAAATGTAGGCTTTCCTCAATTTAGTCAATCAAAAAATGGGTTGGAGAAGAAATCTTTACAGATCGCACTCGGATTTGGAAATTATAAGACTTTTGTTGGTAACTCAAAAAATGTGTTGGAAAATTCCACTACGGGGCTCAGAAATGTAAAATGTAGGCTTTCCTCAATTTATTCAATCAAAAAATGGGTTGGAGAAGAAATCTCTTCAGATCGCACTCTGCTTTGGATTGCATTCCCGATTTCTTGGTTCTAGTCTCCCATATTTTTACTTTTGATCAACATTTAAATACTAGGTAAAAAATGTACAACCCTTTATGCTCTATTTACTCAAGACTTTCGCATTGCAAAGGCGCCTTTAAATGGTCTATTATAAAGTGGGGTACATACTATCAGTTTCGACTAATTGAATACATTTACACCACTTTGAAGATCCTTACAATCCCAATTGTTGTAATACATTTTCTGTACCCCATTACAAACGAAAAATACAGGTACTGCGTCAACGCTTGAGAAAATTGATATGTCACAATTTGTAAAATAAAATAAAAAATAAGTCGATTTTTATGTGTTTTCTTATGTGACTACAAGCGGAAGTTGTTACGATATGCATTTTTGAACAATTTTTATTAATTTCAATAATTTTTCATTCAAAATTGTCAATTTCTGAATTGGTTTGCCCTGTATTTTTCTACCATGGAACGATCACAAAAGGTACAACTTTCCGTCCCCGATTTCTTGTCTTGCCATCCCTATTTTAAAAGCGGGTTTTTTAATAGAGTATCGTAATTTTCAGTTTATTTTTTGCGTTCTTTTTTCGTTCAGAAGAGAATGCGGTGTGCCGATGTGAATGATGGAATACAAAACACCACAAACTCGCACACATACACGGGCGCGAAACCGCGGTGTATGTGTGTGGAAACTATTTATAAACACATGTATGCATATTTTGTGTTCTTTCTTCTGCTTCTTGCTATTTCAAATGGCGATCACATTTTTCTTTCAGCTACGAAAAAGTATTTTTTCTTCTTAAATAAAAATGGCAAACAAAAAAATGTATTTAACACTTTTCGTTGGATGAAAATTTGAAATCATAACAAAATTGTTCACACTTTGGTTTCTTCGGATTTTTGGAAGAATAGAATAAAATCATGACATGGTTGGGGTGATGGAGGTGGTGTGGTTGTGTGGAGCAAGGGAACTCATAATTGGTTTGTGACTAACAACAAGTAGTATTTAGGAGGTGGTGTAGATATTTTCATGCCCACACCTCCCGCACAGCGTGGAGAAGTCGGCTAGCTAGAAACTAGTGTGCCATTGGGGAGGTTCTTTTAGTCGCTAGGCAATTTGAGACAGCAAAACCATGCTGCCTTCTGCTTGGCTATGTTGTTGTCGAACGTTGAACGATCATTATTTTGCCATGCCATGCCATTAACCCCACTTCTGGTGAAGCGCGCGCGAGGTCTTTTCGTCTTATCACCTCACACACCATTAACAATGTGAGCGAGCGAGCAGCACACCATATGTTTTTCGATTTAATATTTTTTGAGGTTTTGTTTTTTACAAAACGAAATTCTTGACCCCCCTTCTGTTTTTCCCCTCCCCTTTCCCTGCTGCGAGAACACCTTTTTTTTAAGCTTTAATTTTTTGGACAATTAGAAGATGACAAATAAATGTGATCATCATTGCTGGGGAGGCGAAAGCAAACAAAAATCTTGAAATAGGTATGGGTTTGGTGTCTGGTGTAATGTCTGTTTTATGGGTTATTTGGTTCCTTTACCAGGAATCCCTTCTTTCGCTTGTTCTTCTTCTTCTTCTTCAACACTTACCAGTTCTGTCCGAGCCAGATTGACGATCAAATTCACGTTTACGATTGCCACCTTCAAAGTTACGGTTGCGTGGGGCACGATCGCGTGGTGGACGATCTCCACGGTTATTGAATTGTTGGCCACCTTCGACGGCATTGTCACCGCCTTGGCGAGCATTACGACGATTATTGCGTTGTTCACGTGTTTCACCATTTTGTTGTCTAAAGTTGACATTGCGTTGTTGTTGCCCTTGACCACCTTCACGTGCTGGGCCACCAGCCTCACCATTATTGCGTTTGCGATTCGCGCCACCAGCAGCGGCAGCCCCACCTTGTTTAGCGACAGCACCACCACCTGGAGCAGCACCGCCACCTGGCTTCTTATTGTCGTTTCTGTTCAATGGCTTGTTTTCCTTTTCGGCCTGGTTGTTGGTCTTCTTGGCATTGGGGGCCTGTTGGCCTTTGTTCGTTGTCTTGGCGGCAGCAGCTCCAGTTTGGCCACCAGCCGTCGTTGCCGTAGCAGCGCCAGCAGTCTTAACCTGCTTTTTCTTCTTGGCAACAATATTATCTAATGGATCACTAATATCTTCGTCCATGAACAAAAGTTCATAACGATTATTCCCAGCTGAATCCATAATTGTGTGAAATTGATTTGTTTTTGTGTTTTAGTGGGTATTTTATTCCAATATTTTTTCTTGCTTCACTTCTCTTTGTGTATAATTTAATTTTTTCTTCTTAAAATTATCCTCCTCAAAGTTTTGCACCCAAAATCTTTTAGCGGACTGCAATGTATTTTATGTTAACCTTAATTTTGGTTATTTTTTGCGTTCTTCTTCTTTTTCTCTACAGTCTCAGAGTGGTGGTACTCTCTCTCTCTCACACATACACGCATACACAGCTGGTGTACTCAAATTCTCTCGCATGGACGGACGTCTTGTCTCCTTTGGTTTATTTTCCATACAAAGATATGAAATTTACACACAGTGTGACAGCATATAATTTCGTCCTCCCCTTTACTCTTTCAATCTATAATTTTTCACACAAATTGGTATTTTCTATGAATTCTTCTCCTTGGCAATTCACTCTCAAAAAGACTGTCAGTCAGTCAATTAAGTGTGTGTGTGCGTGTGCAAAAGAAAATAAAGCATGAAAAACGCATGGTAGTATACACATAACATGGTACGAAAATCAATCTGAAAAAGAACAAAAGATTAAAAAAACACAATTCTCTCTCGCGCGCTCTTTTTCTCTCTCATGGTGTGTATATGCATGAAATAACACACAGATACTATTTTGCTCCAACGCAAAAGTGTGCATGTGTATGTGTGCGTTGCGGTGTGGGGGGCTCCAAATGAATTTGACATTTGTTTGGTGGTGTTTGTGTGAGCACGTTGGATGAAAAAATAAAAGAGGGATGTCGAGGTCGACTTATCGATATATCGTCTTGTTTGCAAATTAGTTGAAAAGCTCATAATTGATGTTTTACTATTGTCGGTAGGTAAATTTAGAGGCGAAGAGAAATGGACGAAAGAAGTAGATATCCGATAATCAAAGAAATAGTATAGAAAAGTCTATAGAATCAATGCGATCATGCAAAAATCGATAAAACATACATTCGATTTTCCGCCTAACCTATATATCCCTGAAAATACAAAAGAAATTCGACGATAAGCAGTGTTTGCTTAACACAAGGGCTGTGTTTAGTTGTCATTGGTGCTGTGTTCAATGTGTGCCAAATGTGACCATGTGGTTTTTGCACAAACCATTATTAATTATAGCAATTTAATGAACTTAAATGTAAATTTACAGATTTGTAAATGCTATAAAACTTGTTTTATATTTAGTAAACGATGTATAGATGTTTCAATGCGAAATACATGTAAATGTATTTACTCGTATATTATTATATTAGGTGGATTCACATTACGGGATATATCGGCCATGATATGTTGAATGGGCATATATCTGATCAATATTTAGAAAATAAACGTGTATTGAAATTTTTGTCCCGAAATCGACTTCATAAGCTGAAAACTTTTATGGAAATGCAAAATAACGGAAAAAAAAACTTATTGAAGTTTTTACAATTTGAAACATATTTGCCCTATTTCAGAACTGCAAGAATGCAAAACGCTAATTGAATATATATATATATATATATATATATATATATATATATATAAACTTTTACGGAAATGTAAAATAACAGAAATAAAGTTTTTAGTTTTTAGCTGTTCCAAATGGTTATTTGCCCCGTTTAAGAACTGCAAGAATGCAAAAATTTTTTCTTCGATAATCGATTTTTCCTAGATGTTATCGACAAAAATTGCAAAACTAGGAGATTCTTCAGTACATTCAGAGTTATATGTCTCAAATAGTAAAAGGAAATTAATGAGTTATTTTATATTTGAAAATATACATTGTACATATTTGTATTATTTTATTGAAAATTTTATAGTACGTTTACAGTATGCCGGATTTTTTAAGCCCAGTGGATTTAAATAGCCAACTCCGTTGCATATACGTCAAATAAATTTTCATAAAGAAAATTTTTTTGGCTGATCTTGACTCCAAGATCGACAATTTTGGCATATTTACGTACCATTGAACCAAAAATGAGCTTGGTCGCAAAATTAAAGAGACACGCGATGAGCATTTTGGCAAGCATTGTTCGTTTGTTAGACAGTGAAACAAAACAAGTTGTGCGTGAGCTGTAATCGCCGTTTAATAAAACCTGAAAGAATCTACAATCATAAAGGGAAAATCGGTTATCGTAGTAAACATTTTTACATTCCTGCGGTTCTAGAACGCACCAAAAATGTTCAATTTAAATGAATAAATATATGGTCGGTTCCAGAACTGCAAGAGTGTAAAAGTTTTTACAACGATAACCGATTTTCCCTTTATGATATCCATGGTAAAAGAATATAGATAGATGCTTCAACGCTTGGGAACATTGAAATGTCAAAAATTTTAAAATGTCTTTTTGAAAATAAGTAGATTTTAATATATTTTCTTATACGACGCCAATCGAACATTTTTATGATAGGCATTTTTCAACAATTTTAACGAATTGAAATAATTTTTCATTCAAAAATTTCAATTCTAAAATTGGTTTGACAGTTCATTGTCCAAGCAGCTGTGTCAATGCGACTGCCTGTATTCTTCTACCACGATGACATCGAAGAAAATTGCCAAAATAGTAGATTCTCGCAGGTACTGAAACATAACATTAATTTTTCTAAATGTATTTCTCTGTTCCAGAACCTCCAGGAATCTAAACATTTTATAGCATAATCGATTTTTTCAATTTTGGCATTTATTCTGTTCCAGAATTGCACGAAGGTAAAAAATTACTATGATAACCGGTTTTCTTTTATGATCTCGAAGAAAATAACAAAACTATTAAATTTTTGCAGGTTCTGGAACAGACCAATTATTTGCAGAAAAAAATTACATGAGTTTGCAGTTGATTGTATTTGTTACAGTTTTGCTTCTACCCTCTAATAATTCTACAGTGAAAACCTATTCATTTGTCACGTTTTTTTGTTTATTTCTGCCCTGTTCCAGAACATGCAAAAATCTGCTAGTTTGCTATTTTTTCGATATCTTAAAGAAAAATCGGTTATCGTAGTGAAAACTTTTATATACCATTTCAACACTTTGTTATCGTTCACCTTACGTGGACGTACGTTACGAACTACACTAATCACAGACAAAAAATGTATCATCATCTCATCACTACTTGTGGTAATGCAACCCTGTATTCTTTGTCACATTTTCAGCAACTGTTCAATTGCGGCGTGTTTAAATTTGCAAAACTGCAGTCAGTGAAAGCGGCAAAAATTAATTGCAACGCGAAAAAAAACTCTAAGGAATTAAAAAGGGTAAGTTTTTATAATTCTTTTAAATTATTTGCAATAATTAATTGAATTTGTATTATATTTGCGAAGGATTGTTGTAAAATTGGTGGAAGTATGCGTTAATTTATTGAACTTAAGAAAACCCAATTGGATTTGTAAAGAATGTCGAATAACGGTTTTAATGCCAGACACAGGCCTCTTTAACGCATACATACAAATTCAACAAGTTGGAGGGTTTTTTTTTCGCAAAGTGATGGCATTGGGAAATTTGTGTGATTTTGTGAATTAGGAAATGTATTTTGAAATTTTTATAAATATCTTGGTTTATATTTTTCGTAGGCGTTATGGGCGTCATGTTGCGTCAAGTTCTAGAGTAGGCGTCAGGAATCTTTGAGTGAACGGAATTCTTGATGTTCTTTTTTTTTTAGACAATATCCTATGGAAAAACTTTAAATTAGACTTCACCAGTGAACAAACATCTAACAAATATATAGAATTTCTAAATTAACAAAAAGGCATAAAGATATTCGTACATAGATTACTATATCACCGAAGCGCTAGCCACTGGAGTTCCGTTGCAGGAAAGAACAATGACTAGCCATTTTTTTTAGCAAAAAATTTGCACTTTCCAAATAAACCGATTTAATTTAAGATCTTCCTAGATCTAGTTCTTCTGGGGATTATACCGAAATGTGAACCTACTTTGAAAATTTTTGTTAAGTAATGATTGGAGCTTCAAAAATACCTTCATTCAGGATAGGTGTCGTTGTATGGAGAAATTCCAAAGAATGTTGTGCGGGCAGTAAATTTAGCTGTAGAGGACCAGTAGTGTCAAATTGCTGCCGATTTGGTCAGAAATTGGAACTGAAATCTTTGAAATTTTGGACAATTCAAAAACAGCCAAGTTCAGCCGCTCCTAGCTTTAATACTCTAACATTTGGAAGAAAATTGCAAAATTAAAAAAAAAAAATGTGTGAAAAACATGCCTATAAAATTGGATAGTGCAGTTATGGTAGGGTGCTATACGAAAACGAATTATCTGGAAGAGAAGGCCAATTGAGAATTTCTGGTACAAATCTTGGGAACATTCCGCTAAAAAATCTGGTTAATATCGAAAAATACCGAGCATCGAAAGGTACTATTATATGGGGAATATACAAACCTTCATGTAGCTAATTTTCTGTCATAGAAAGTGGTACTCATTTCCAAAGCCAAATATCAAATATGAAACAATTCCACCCAAAAATACGATTTAAGTCATGAAAAGATCGAATATCTTTAGGTACAGTTAGATGGTGCCTGTACGAAAATATGGGCCTATATAAATAAATTTCTATCAGAGAAGATAGCCACCTGTTGACAACACCAAACAGTAACTTTAAAATAATTCCGTTGAAAAATGTAACCAAAATCGTCTAAATGTCAAATATAGGGAGGTAGGGTTATATGGGGTCTTTACGAAGACGTGGATCTTTCTAAGCAATTTTTAGTCGTAGGAGTTAGCAGTATCAATTACGAACTCCAAATACCAAATTTGAAAACATTCAAGTGAAAAGTGCGATACAAACTATAAAAATACACTATATATGGAGGTATAGTTATATGGGGCCTATACTAACCGATAACTTGGACCAATATTGAAAGTTCTCTTCAGAAATATTTCTGATATACTGGGAACACAAACTGCCAGTTTACAGAAAATTATTTTTAAAATTGTGACTTACACGCACAAAACACCTTCAATCTGCTGGTACAATAGGTGGGAGCTATACCAAGAAGTGCATCTATACGACCCACTTTTGGTGGAGGGTATACCTTGGAAAGAAGGGTATATTAAATTTGTCATTCCGTTTGTAACACCTCTAAATATTTGTTATAGATCCCACAAAGTAGGACGGTTGGTATTGAAAATGAGATATATCGGTCCACGTTTTAAAATAGCTCCCGTATAACGATACCACCCGATAACGATACTACCCGGTATTTTGATAGTTTTCCCCACACATTTCCATCAATTTGTCTATAAATTGGTATTTGTAGTTCGTTGTGGGTTCTAGCTCTGGTGGCGGAACATTGCATATATAGGTCAACGTTTTCGTATAGCCCCCATATAAGGGTACCTCCCGATATTCAGTATTTTAATGATTTTGCCACATTTTCCTCGGGTTTGTCTAAAAATGGTATTTGTTGTTTGGAATGGGTTCTAGTCTCGGCGGTAGGACATTGGTTATATAGGTCAATGTTTTCTTATAGCCCCCATAGAAGGGTACCTAAAAATTGGTGTAGTAGATTTTAATGGGTTCTAGCTCCGGTGGCTTGACTTTGTATAGACACGATGTCCGTCTGTTTGTTCCAAATTTGCCATTTGAAGTTTTTAATATGTATTACATCCTATGACAGAAAATTGTCTGTACAGGTCATCCGTCTTCGTATAGCCCCCGTATAACGATACATCCTGATATTCGGTATTTGATGATTTTAGCGACATTATTCACCGGAATTGTTTCAAATTTGCTTCTTGAAGTTCGTAATGGATACTACAGCCTATGACATAAAATTGCCTGTTCAGGTCCTCGTCTTCGTGTAGCCACCATATAACGGTACCCTCCCTATATTCGATATTTTGATGATTTTAGCAACATTATCCACCAGAGTTTTTTTTTCGCATTTGTGGTTCCTATTGGCTACTACAGCCTATGAAAGATGATGGGATATGCAGGTCCAGGTCTTTGTATATCTCACATATATTTGTACAACCTGTATTCGGTATTTTGATGATTTTAGTGACATTTTTCATTGAAATTGCACCAGATTTCATAGTTTCTAATGGTTACTACAATCTGTGACAGAAAATTGCCTATGCAGGTCCACGTCTTCGTGTAGCGCCCCCATATAATGGCACCTCCATATTCGATATTATCAGGATTTAAGCGACATTAGTCACTAGAATTGCTTCACATTTCGTATTGAAGTTCCTAATGGGTAGTACCGTCTGTGACATGTATTGTAACGATAACTCCCTACATTCAATATTCTTATTGTTTTTTTTTGTTATTAAATTCATTCATGACTGCATCCGCATTAACAAGCTAAGTCCGCCCAACACAATGTCGTGTACATCATAACCGACTACTCTCCCAGCAATGATTACTCACTCTTTTTGATGGCTTATCGAAAAGTACATCGTCTGTGGTTAGCTTAAAGGGGGGATTTCCATTTTCATTGTTGCGTGCCATTGTTGTTGTTATTAACTTCTCATTTACTTTAGTACAAACTTGACTGTCTCCGCGAGAAGAAGTTATTAATATTTCTATTATTTTTTTTAATTAACAAAAGTTGCTGATTTTATCGAAAGAAATAAATAGACAAAAAAATGGAGAATATCGTGGTCGAAAGTCGTATACGACGTTGTCATAAATGTAAACAGTCAATACATTCTAGGTTTGTATCAAACAAGTCCAGATTTCTTTAAAAACAACTTTTTGGAAACTTAGGAGAGGAGGGGGAAATTGACGAGCTTTTTCACCCAATGCCTGCCGACTACTCATAAAAGCAGATTACGGGGTATATTTGGATTTATTTTAATCGCCCAAATTATCTTTTATTTTGATGCACACTTGTTTCCATTCAATTGTTTATACCCTACACCAAATAGGGGTAAGGGTATTTTTGACATGGAAGAGGGATAGATCCATAGTTACTATTGAGAATCTTCATAGAATCACTTTTTGAGTCGATTTATGCATGTCAGTCAGTCCGTCCATTCTTGTGAACAAAATGCAGATCGCATTAATTATCCGATTGAGAGGAAATTTTCCAAACAATATTTGTTTGACACAGGGACGAACCCTATTGAAATTGGTAAGAATCGGTTCAAATTTAGATATAGCTCCCATATAAATCTTCAACCGATTCTGGTATAATTGTGCACCAAATGGTCAATATCAGTCCAAATGTCCTGAATTTTTGTACATCCGACCGAATTCAGTCTAGAAGCAAGTACATCAAATTTGGTGAAAATCGGTTCATATATAGCATTGGCTGTCATACATATGTTTCATCCGATTTGGGGTTTTATGTCCCTCATATTCGTAATATGCATTCGACAAGAATGATATTTGGTACCAGATGTCAAATAGAGCTCGGAAATGCCTCTGCCAAATTTTATCGAGATCGGTTGAGATTTTGGATGTAGCTTCCATATATAACCTTAACCCGATTTAACGTTTATTTGCACCAGATGGTTAATATCTGTCCAAATGGAGTGAATTTTGGCACATCCGACCGAATTCAATCTAGAAGCAAGTACACCAAATTTGGTGAAAATCGGTTCAGATATAGCTATGGCTCCCATATATATATGTTTCACCCGATTTGGGGTTTTAAGTCCCTAACCTTCGTAATATGCACCCCACAAGAATGATATTTTGTACCAGATATCAGATACAGCCCAGAAATGCCTCTGCCAAATTTTTTCAAGAACGGTTTAGATTTGGATATAGCTCTCATACACATCTTCAACCGATTTTGTGGGTAATTGTGCACCAAATGACCAATATCAGCCCAAATTACCTGCATTTTGGCACTTCCGACCGAATTCAGTCTAGAAGCAAGCACATAAAATTTGGTTAAAATCGTTTCAAATATAGCTTTTGCTCCCATGCATATGTTTCATCCGATTTGGGGTTTTATGTCCCTCATATTCGTAATATGCATTCGACAAGAATGATATTTGGTACCAGATATCTTATAGAGCTCTGAAATATCTTTGCCAAATTGTGTCAAGATCGCTTCAAATTTGGATATAGCTCCCACATACACCTTCAACCGATTTTTCTGGGTAATTGTGCACCAAATGACCAATATCTGACAAAATGTAGTGAATTTTGGCACATCCGACCGAATTCAGTCTAGAAGCAAGTACATCAAATTTGGTGAAAACCGGGTCAAATATAGCTATGAGCTCGGAAATAAATTTGCCAAATTTCAGCGAGATCGGCTAAGATTTGGATATAGCTCCCATATATTACTTCAACCGATTTCGGGTTAATTGTGCACCAAATGACCAATATCAGTCCAAGTGACCTGAATTTTGCTTCATCCGATCGAATTCTGTCTAGAAGCAAGTACATCAAATTTGGTGAAAATCGGTTCAGATATAGCTATGGCTCCCATATATATATGTTTCACCCGATTTGGGGTTTTATGTCCCTAACCTTCGTAATATGCACCCCACAAGAATGATATTTGGTACCAGATATCTTATAGCGCTCGGAAATGCCTTTAAAAAATTTTATCGGGTTCGGGTTCGGTTTAGATTTAGATATAGCTCCCATATATATCTTCAACCAATTTCAGTTTTATTGAGAAAATAATAGCTAATATCAGCCAAAATTGAGTGAATTTCGGGACGTACGTTTCCATTTGGTGGAACTCGGCTCCGATTTATATATATATATATATATATATATATATATATATATATATATTTTTTTTTTTTTTTTTTTTTTTTTCAAAAATAAAAAATAATAATAATCTTCGAAGTGATATCATTAAGTTCTTTATAGCATTTGGTATAGATAGCTCCGCCAAATTTAGTGAAAATCGATTCAGAATTGGATATGCCTCCTTCTGAAACCAAATCATAACGGCTCCAAAGCCAAATGTTGTTGATGGTGGTACGATCTACTTCAAAATATTCTCTTCTTTTCCCTTTTTTCTCTTCTTCTCGGGAGCTCTACTAAATATGCATAGTGGGTGGTGTAGGGTATTATATAGTCGTCCACGCTCGACTTTTGGCTTTTCCTTACTGATTTTTATTTCCTTTGAAATTTAAGCCAATTTATGGTGGCCAATTTCATACATAACAAGTAAAAAAGCAGATAAGTTCCGCCGGGCCGAACTTTTTATACCCTCCACCATTAGGGACGAATTGGCGATTTTCAAAAAAAAAAAAAAAAAGAATAAAATAAAATAAAATCCTTAAAAATATTCTTAAAAATACCGAATATAGCCGTTATATTAAGGTCTATACGACGACGTGGATCGGCATAGGTAACTTTTGTCATAAGCCATTCCAATATTCAAATGCGAAACTTGAAAAAAATCGGTGAATAATGTAGCTAAAATCATTAAAATACCGAATATCGGGAGGTTACGTTATATGGGAGCTATACCAAAATGAGGACCTGCACAGACAATTTTCTGTCATAGGCTATAGTGTTCATTACGAACTTCAAATACCAAATTTGAAATAATTCCCGTGAATAATGTCACTGAAATCATCAAATTACCGAATATTGGGAGGTACCTTTATATAAAAGCTTTACGAAGACGTGGGCCTGAACAGAAAATTTTCTGTCATAGGCTATAGTATCCATTGCGAACTTCAAATACCAAATTTGAAATAATTCCGGTGAATAATGTCACTGAAATCATCAAAATACCGAATATCGGGAGGTGCCGTTATATGGGAGCTATACGAAGACGTGCAGCTGCACAGAAAATTTTTTGTCATAGGTTATAGTATCCATTACGGACTTCAAATATCAAATTTGAAAGAATTCTGGTGAATAATGTCACTCAAAATCGTCAAAATACCGAATATCGGGAGGTACGACTATATGGGGGCTATACAAAGACATGACGATTTTCTGTCACAGGCTGTAATATCCATTGCGAACTTGAAATACCAAATTTGAAACAATTCTGGTGAATAATGTCGCTTAAATCACCAAAATACCGAAAATGGGGATGTACGACTATATGGTGGGCTATACGAAGGGGGGGGGGGACTTGCACGGACAATTTTCTGTCATAGGCTGCAGTATCCATTACGAACTTCATATACCAAATTGGAAGCTATTCCGGTAAATAATATCGCTAAAATCATCAAATTACCGAATATCGGAAGGTGCCGTTATATGAGGGCTATACAAAAACCGTGGACCTACATGGTCCATTTTCAATACCAAAAGTCCTGTAGACTTAGTCTACATTTGAGTAAAATTTTATCAACCTACTTCATTTTGTTCGGAAGCTAGAGTGATTTCCACAGACGGATAGACGGACAACGCTAAATCGGTATAGAATTTTATGCTGATCAAGAATATATATATACTTTGTGGGGTCTAAAATGTGTATTCCGAGGTGTAACAAACGGAATGAGATACTCAGTATACCCTACATGCTACGGTGGAGGAGAGCATAATTGCAAAGACTACTTCCCAATAGAACTTTGTGAATCCCAAATCTAAACATATTCTTTAGAAGCAATGCGAAATTTGATGTTTATACCCTACACCACAAGGTGGTCAGGGTATTATGTCTTTGTGTATTTGTTTGTAACAGGCAAAAGGAAACGAGATAGACCCATAGTTTCTTTTGATGATCTGCATAGAATCACATTCTGAGTCGATTTATGCATGTCCGTCTGTCCGTCTGTCCGTCTGTCCATGTATTTTTGTAAACAAAGTACAGTTCGCATTTATTGGCCTATCCAGATGAAATATTGTACAAATCATTTGTTTGGCCCAAGGACGAACCCTATTGAAATTGGAGATAATCGGTCAAAATTTAGATATAGCTCCCATATATATCTTCGTCCGATTTGCTTTTTGTTGTGCATCAAACGTGTAATGTCAGCCCGAATAGTATGAAATTTTGCACATACAACCAAATTAGGCTTGAAAATAAGTATGCCAAATTTTATCGAGATCGGTTAAGATTTGGATATAGCTCCCATATAAAACTTCGACCGATTTACGTTTTATTGTGCACCAAACGTCTAATATTTGTCCAAATGGGATGGAATTAGGCACTTACGGCCGAATTGAGTCTAGAAGCTAGTATGTAAAACTTGGTGAAGATCGGTTCAGATATAGCTATAGCTCCCACATATATTCTGTTCATCCGATTTGTTATATTTGTTACCCACAGCCGTAATATGCACTCCGTAACAATGATATTCGGGGAAATATATCAAATACAGCTCAGAAATACACTTGCTAAATTTTATCGAGATCGGTTTAGATTTGGATATATCTTCCATATATAACTTCGTCCAATTTATCTTTTATTGTGCACCAAACATCTAATATTTGCCCAAATGGGATGGAATTTGGCACATATGACCGAATTTAGTCAAGAAGGTAGTATGTCAAATTTAGTGAAGATCGGTTCAGATATAGCTATAGCTCCCATATATACTGTTCATCCGATTTGTAGTATTTGTTGCCCACAGCCGTAATATGCACTCCGTAACAACGATATTCCGGGAAATATATGAAATTAGGCCTGAAAATAAGTATGCCAAATTTTATCGAAATCGGTTCAGATATAGCTATAGCTCCCACTGTTCATCAGATTTGTTATATTTGTTACCCACTGCCGTAATATGAACTCCGTAACAACGATATTCAGGGAAATATATCAAATCGGTTCCGATTTGAATATAGCTCACATATATATCTTTATCCGATTTCAAATTAATTGTGCACCGAATGGGCAATACAAGTCCGTATTTAAAAAATAAAAATACTTCGGCATATATAATCCCTTGAGCTTTAAATTACAATTAATTATAATTATTATATAATTATAATTATTAGAATTATAATTATAGCGAGTATGTTAAATTCTCCCATTAAAACGTTTAATAGTTATGCGGAGCTCTACTTTAAGACTTTCTTTACTGGTTTTAAAATGTTGCGTGACCAATATTCATAGGGAAATTTTCAATTCTATTGTGAAATCTATTGTGAAATCTTCTAGTCTAGTCGTCCTATTGGGATTTTTGCATATTATTCCCAAAACTCATGGAAAATCTCAATACGTTTCATTGGGAAAATTTCTGGCCTAGTCGCATCCAATTGGGATTTTTTCAGATTTTTATTAAACACATATGGTGTCTGCTTCAAGGAAAGGCTTTTTCTACCTAAGCAGAGGTAACGAAGTACAACAACAATCGCCATTTCATACCTCTTTTTGTTGCTTCTTTACACAATGCTAACCATTTTCGTTGAATTTCATCGGAGTCATATGTTCGTGCGACCCACCAAGAAAACCCTCCCAAACATATGTATGCTTTGTTTACGAAAAAGGGACCATAGCGCAAAAACAATTCCAAAATATGTTGTGTTTCCTCCATGAAGCGGCATTATTTTATTTCCCAAACAATTTTCATAATGCGAATGTGGACAACTGGAGGAACTTCATTTCGCATTTGACATTTTGCCGGCTAGGAACGCAAATAATTTGGAGATAAATTTTTAAAATTTTTGGAGATAAAAAAAAATTGAAACATGGATTACTTTCAACAATTGAATTCCTTATTTTCGGGAGTTGACCATCAACATTTACTGGAGACTCAATTATCTTCATTGCATTTTAGGAAAGTTACAACAACTACTGCTGCAGTAACACCAAATAACAAGAACAACAACAACAACACCAGCAAAGCAAAAACCAAAACAGGAACAGGAACAGCAAAAATGTCCGACTGGGGTGATAATGATACGGAGGTAATGTTTGTTTGATTGTCGCATAATTGAATGATTGGTACTAATTTGAATCGCATTTATGTTTCAGGTTATTGAAGGCAAAGGCTTTACCTCCAATGACAAATACAAGACCAATGATGACTATCAGAACGAAGATGACAATAATAACAACAATGATGGTGGCGATAATAATGATGATCGCGGCGGTTACAATAATAATCGGCGTAATGGTTTTGGTGGTCGAGGCCGTAATGGTGGCGGAGGTCGTGGAGGAGGCGGTATGTATTTATTTTAAAATTCAGTTTAGAAGAGAAATGTGAGAATTTTTGTCTTTGCCATGTTATTTGAAAACCGCAGGAGTCGCTAAAATGTTTTGTAAAGCCGCCTTGAGATGAGAAAAAATTGTTTTTTTAAGAAACCCCCAGAAGGTCAGCTAAAATATTTCCCTTGAGCAACCCCAGAAGGTCAGCTAAAAAGATTTCCCTTGAGCAACCCCAGAAGGTCAGCTAAAATAAGAAACCCCAGAAGGTCAGCTAAAATAATTCCCTTGAGCAAAGTGGGGTAATTTTTTCCAAGAAGACGATCTTGCCTTTTTCAAGGAAAGTAGGAAATTCTCATATCAGAAGTATTGGAAAAACATTTCGTATTCACCAAATTTTATTTATTTTGAATTTTAGGAGGAGACCTTTTTTGTGATCTGACCAAGGACTTGAGGGATTTAGACTTAGGTTAATTTAGGATTTTTTGCTTTACTTGTTGTTGTTGTTGTTGTAGCAGTAGTACATGTGTGTGTTTGTGTTCTGCTAATCTGGTTCCAGCTCCAGGTTTAGAAATTCGGCTACTTTAACGGGCTGTAGCCAGAGATCCTCTGGAGTGAGTTGGGTAGGTTTGGCTGAGCAATTAAAAAGGTGTAGCGTATTGTGCGGGCCTGTATCGCACGCCGGGCAAGCGTCACGCACATCTTCATCAATTCGTGCCCAATACGAATTGAGGCGACTACACCATCCTGAACGTAATTGCGCCAAAACTACCCTGGTTTGTCCAGGCAGCTGACGTTCTTCGGCTGCAATGGATGGTGGGTGGACTCCGAGGACGGCATTCACTTTATAACTGCTAATAGCATCCGCGACTGCATCGGTGTGAATGCCACTCAGACCTGCCCGATAGGCTTCTTGATCTAGAGGCTCTCTCTTGTAGCGCTGGACCTCCCTCTCTAGATCATGTATGTCCTTCCTGACACGCCTGGGTGGGGGAGAGTTATCCACCATATGATGGTTGGGATGACTCTCACGGTAACACCCAAGCAGGTACTGCAACGAAAGCATATGATTATGCTGACGTAAGGGAAGGACTTTCGCCTCCTCATGTAGATGGTCTACTGGTGTCATGAGGAGGCACCCTGTCGCAGTTCTCAGGGCAGCGTTCTGGCAGGTCTGGATATTCTTCCACTGCGTAGCACTAGTATTCGCAGACCACACTGGAGCCGCATAGTTGACCACAGACCGACCTATCGCGTTATAAGAGGTCAACAAGGTTTCTTTGTCCGCACCCCAAGAGCTGCCGGCTAGCGCCTTGAGGACCTTGTTCCTACTTTTCATCTTGTCGCAGATAGCTGTGGCTTGCGCGGACGACTTGAACATGCTGTCGAACGTTACCCCAAGAATCTTGGGGTAGTTCGTGGTCGGTATTAGATTCCCCTCGACCTGAACATTCAGCTGTGTTCTCATCTCCGCAGACCATGTGGTAAAGAGTGTGGCCGTTGATTTCGTGGCGGATATTTTCATATTCCTCGCGTGGAAGTATGCGGCAAGCTCCGCGAGATAGGGGTTCAACCTTTCGCATATGTCATCGACCACTGGACCCGACGCCATGATCGTACAATCATCCCCATACGTTACGATCTCAATGCCGTTTGGAGGGCGAGGAATTCCGGAGAGGTAGAGGTTAAACAGTTCCGGAGATATCACCCCGCCTTGGGGAACTCCCTGTTTCACTCTACGGGCTTTGGACTTCTTGTTCCGGAATTCCACGTACGACTGGCGTCCACACATATAGTTGATTATCCAACGTTTCAAACTTGGCCGGAGGGTAGTTCTCTGTACGTCCTCAAACAGTGTGGCATGATTGACCGTATCAAATGCCTTTGATAGATCAAGGGCTACCAATACTGTTCTGTCACACGGCCTGTTCTGGTTCAGTCCTCTACTAATATGTGTGGAAATGGCGTGTAATGCTGTTGTGGTACTATGTTGCGGACGGAATCCATGCTGGTGGTTGGCAACTGTATTGCTTCCTCTAATGCTGGGGAGGAGTAAAGCCTCAAGAGTATGTACATGTTTGTGCTTTACTTGTTGATCCTCTTGTTTTCCTATGGCAGGCGGTTTTTTTCTCCAAATTTTGATTTCTAGAAGACCGTTTTTTTTACTTACCAAGGAGATTAGGAATTTATACTAGCCCGTAGGAAATTCTCATATCAGAAGTATTGGAAAAACATTTCGTATTCAACAAAATATTAATTTTGATTTCTAGGAGGAGACCGTTTTTGTACTGATCAACTGCAATTTAGGGATTTAGACTTAGGTTAATTTAGGATTTTTTGCTTTACTTGTTGATCCTCTTGTTTTCCAATAGCGGGCGGTTTTTTTTTTCTCAAAATTTTGATTGAGATAAAGTTGTAGAGTGTGATCTACGGCTGAGGAGTTTGCCGTGTCGTCTTTAGCCACTTGAATCTTCTGGCTAATTGAAGGATTACTATAGGGTCAGTGTTAGAAAAAGAAGACAGATCATGTGACACTAGTTCTCCCACTAGCCTGTGTCTCACATTAATGAGTGCTGGCAGAGCAAGTGTTCGACTGTCTCGATTTCTTCTTCATCTTGACAGATAGTCAATGTCGCCGCTGTCCCATTTCGAGGTCATAGCCCTCACTTTACAATGACCTCTGATAATACCCACCACAAGTTTTAAATCAGGTTTTGACAATGACATCAGCGACCTTGTTTTCCTTTCTGAGAGTGTGGGCCAGATTCTTTTGGAGATGGTGCATCCCATTTCGTCCAGCCATTTTTGTTGGATTCTCTCAGAGTAATGATGGTTTAGAACTAAGTATATCATTAAAAAGCCGTCACGTCGAGACAATTTTTTAAAAATACCAGATTCCAGAGCTTGGAGAATAAAATTATTCTACCCCACAAGACGATGCTGCTTTTAAAGAAGGCCCAACGTAAGGATAATTAAAGCCTATATCACACTGTCAGGGTATTATATGTTTGTAACATAGAGAAGGAAGCGAGATAGACCCATAGTTCCCTTTGATGATCGATCTGCATAGAATCACATTCTGAGTAATGATTTATACATGTCCGTCCGTCTGTCTGAGCATGTATTTTTTTAAACAAAGTATAGGTCGCATTTATTGCCCGATCTAGATGAAATTTTCCACAAATCTCCTGCTCGACTCTAGGACGAACCTTATTAGAATTGGAAGTAATCCGTCAAATGTGTATGTCAAATTTGATCGAAATCTATTCGGATATAGCTATTATACCCTCCACCTTGGAAAGGAGTGTATAATAGGATTTTTACCACATTTTTTCACGGATTTGTCTAAAAATTGGTGTTTGTTGGTCATAATGGTTTCTAGCACCTTTGGCGAAACATTGCATGTGTAGGTCCACGATTTGGTATAGCCCCCATATAACGGTACCTCCCAATATTCGGCATTTTAATGCTTTTTGCCACATTTCTTCTAATGTTTCCTTTACCCTGAGGTGGATGGTATGAAAAGTTTGGCCCGGCCTTAACGTTTTTATACCCTCATCCATATGGCTATAGAAGAGGGTATATATCATTTGATACGGTCAAAACGTGCCTAGTCGAAATAACGGTTTTAGACCCTAGGTATCTTTGGACTAAATCCGTTTCAGAACATTTGGAGTCGATCTAGCGATGTCCGTCCGTCCGTCTGTCTGGCTGGCTGGTGCGCACGATAACTCTCGAAGGGAGTATCCGATTTGGTCCAAACTTGGTACATCGTAATATTTTTGTCAATCTTAGATCGAGTTCGGAGATGGGCAATATCGGTCCACTCCTTCTGGTACCTCACCCACAAAAGTTCGAAATTTTCAAAAAATTTAGTTTTTGCACAGAAAGAGAAACGATAATCCGATTTTGCTCCAACTTTGCAAATCTTAATATTTGCGTCAGTGCTAGGTCAAGTGTGAAAATGGACAATATCGGTCCACTCCTACTGGTACCTCCCCCACAAAGGGTCAATATTTTTAATAATTAAAGCTCTCATACAATTGATGTAAGAGTCCGATTGTCTTCAAATTTCACACATCCCAATATTTAATGTAACCCAAGGTCTGGTGTTAAGATGGAATATATCGGTCCACTTCTTCTGGTACCTCCCACACAAATGATCGAGATTTTCAAAAACATATATATATTTTCTGCACAGAAAGAGAATCAATAATCCGATTTTGTTCCAACTTCGCAAATTCTGATATTTACGTCAGTTCTAGATCAGGTGCAAAAATGGATAATATCGGTCCACTCCATCAAGTACCTCCCCCACAAATGGTCGATATTTTGAATATCCATCAAGCTCTTAAAACACTAAATTAACATCCGATTCTATTCAGAATTAGCACGTCTCAATATTTTTATAAACGCAAGACCTTTTATAAAGATGGTAGAAATCGGACAATTCGTTCTGGTACCTCCCACACAAAGGATGACAGTTTTGTATAATCAAAACGAGGAAAGAATCCGAAATAAACATCCGGTTCTCTTCATATTACACACGTCCCATTATTTCTACTAACTCAAGATCTGGTGTGAAGATGGGATATATCGGTCCACTCCTTCTGGTACCTCCCCCACAAAGGTTCAAAATTTTGAGTTTCCACGAAAAAAATTAACATCCGATTCTATTCAGACTTGGAGCTTCTCAATATTTTCATCAACACAAGATCTGCCAACTTATAATTGTCATAACTTGCGAAACAAGTCGGTGATTCTTAACAACTTGCTATATCTAAATATTTCTCTTAACCAGTATTCTGATATGAATATGTAATTTGTCGGAATTTATGATTTCGCATAAAATTGGATTCAAATGTTCAATTTCCTTCAAATTTTGCACATACCAATATACTTTATAAGTTTTAGATGAAGTATGAAAATGGAATACTTCGGTCCGTTATATCTGTTACCTAACGCATATTTCCGAAAATGTGCACCTATCTTATATAAAGTACAAAAAGTAGCCGATATAGTCCAAATCTGTCACGTTCATAACTCAAGGCTGGGGGTATACATCTGTCGGCAAAACCGACTGATACTATTTCACTTGTTTTTACTCATTTGAACTAATCCATGAAGTGTTCAGAATAACTAGCGCTTCTTAGAATTACCTGTTCAGTTCAATTTTACAGACAGGCAAACCAAGACTACTTGTTAGTCTGCAATATTGAGGCGATTAGAATATATCCCAGCATATATTTCGAGAACTACCTTCGATTTTATGAATGCCTTTTGGGTCCCCTGAATGTGTTACCCATCTTGTGGGGGTTTCTGCTTGAACCTAGTGTACATATGAGATTGCCTAAACACTTCCGAAAATAAATCATCATGAGTTATAATGAGATAGGCTTTTGCTGTATTGATTCTGATTTTGTATTGCCTCTGCACTGCTGTGAAAAATTCTTGGTATTGTATAAGATTGCTATTTGGTTCCCCTCTTCTAGGCTTTAATTTTGTATTCTATACGATATTTTCACTGAGTTTTTTAACATCATCAATTTAATTTCGTTTTTTTTTTTGTTATTTCAGGTCGCAACTTTGGAAATCGCAACAATGATGATAATAACGATGAAAACGGCGAGTACAATGGTAAGTGAGATATTTAAATTTATACGATTTAAAGGCTTATGATATTCGGAGAGTACATCTTCGGCACATTAATTGGTCTGCAAACAAACAAATGGATACATTTTTCATAATCATTGTGACCTATAGAGGAACATTCTTTCTAGTTTAATATCCGTTTCAGTACATTTGGAGTCGATCTAGCGATGTCCGACCGTCCATCTGTCTGGAAACTCTCGAAGGCAGTATCCGATAACTCTCTAAGGCAGTATCCGTTTTGGTCCAAAGTTGGTACATCGTAATATATTTGTCAAACTTAGTTCAAGTTCGGAGATGGGCAATATAGGTCCACTTCTTCTGGTACCTCCCCCACAAAAGGACATCATTTTCAATTTACCTCAAAGAAAGAGAATCATTCGATTTTGCTAAAACTTTGCAAATCCTAATATTTGCATCAGCTGCTGAAATGGACAATATCGGTTTACTCCATCAAGTACCTTCCCTCACAAAGAGGTCAACATTTGTAATAATTTAACTGTTATAAAATTTGATGTAAGAGTCCAATTGTCTTCAAATTACACGCATCGCAATTATGTGAATATGGAAAATATCGATCCACTCCTTCTGGTACATTTCTCTACAAAGGGTCAAAATTTTGAATATCCATGAAGCTCATAAAACGCGTAATTGGCACATCTCAATATTTTCATAAACACAAGATCTATTATAAATTAATAACCAAACCGAACTCGAAATAAGCATTCGATTTTTTCATATTTCACATTTCCCATTATTTTTACTAATGCAATATCGGCTTTGAAGATGGGATTTATCGGTCGATTCCTTCTGGTATAAAGGGGTTAAAATTTTGAATATTCATGAAGCTCATAAAACGCGAAGTTGACATTCGATTCCATTCAGACTTTGCACATCTCAATATATCCATCAACACAAGATCTGTTATAAAGATGGTAGAGATTGAACAATTTCTTCTAGTACCTCACACACATAGTGTTCAAGATTTTGAAATACAAAACGCTCAAAGAAAGCGAAATAAAAAGTCCACGTTTCTTCAACAGATGGTCCTTGAAAAAAATATTCTTCAAAAGATCCACGTTTCTTCCACAGATGGTCCTTGAAAAAATATTCTATTAAAGATCCACGTTTTTTGGTCTTTGAAAAAATATTCTTTAATAGATCCAAGTTTCTTGTTTTCTTTTGGTCTTTGAAAAAATATTCTTTAAAAAATCCACGTTTCTTGGTCTTTTGGTCCTGGAAAAAAATATTCTTTAAAAAGATCCACGTTTCCTGATCTTTTGGTCCTGGAAAAAATATTCTTTAAAAAATCCAAGTTTCTTTGTCTTTTTGTCCTTAAAAAAATATTCTTTAAAAATTCCAAGTTTCTTGGTCTTTTGGTCTTTGAAAAAATATTCTTTCAAAAAATCCACGTTTCTTGGTCTTTTGGTCCTTGAAAAAATATTCTTTAAAAAACCCAAGTTTTTTCAACAGATGGTCCTTGAAAAATTTGTTTGAAATTTTTTTTTAATTTTTTTTTTTAAATATTTAATTATGTTCCAGTTTTTTTTATTGAATTTTTAAAAATAATTATATAATTGTAGTTTAGTTTGATTAACAACCATGGTAGTGATAAGTTATGTGTGTGTGATGTCTATGTTTTATTTTTGTCCATAGTTCAAGACACAGCAAATCGAAACGTCATCATCGTTTCCTCCCACATCTATAGAAATCCAATTTTTGATTTAATACCCAAACCACTACCTGGCGAAGATCAAACAAGTTATATCAAGAAATTTGTAAATCAAATTGCCGCTTTATTTGCCAAAGCCAATATTTTGCAAAAATATGTTCTCTTCAAGTATGTGATGGAGATTTATGGGCAAGTTTTGGAAAATGAACAGGCAAAGTGGAGACCAAAAATTAAACCTCTACCACCACCAGCACAACGAAAAGAAAGGCCTCGAATACAGGCAGCAATAAATGTTTCTGGAGATGGTGAGGATGGGGAAAATGCAAGAGCAAATGTACAATCGATTGAGGAAGTTATGCCCATGCCTGTAGGTCAGGGTGAAGTTGGTGGGGTTGCTTCGGAAAGCGTTGAAGAAATTCGTTTGGATTTGAGTGCGGTGAATAATGAAAATGTATATCTACTACCTCCGGACGAAGGAACTACAAAGGAAAAAGATGACATGATGACCTTTAATTTTGTGGGCAAATATCTGGATAACATTGATGACCATCTGGGGGTCAGAGATTTTGAGAATTTCAATGTTGAAATGAATAATTCGTCAATGACATCCTATCCGACCATGTCTCAACATTTGAGTGAACTAAACGAAAGGAATAATCAGCCAAGTGTTATGGGACAAGTTCCAACTACGGAACAGAGGCGGGATTCTGTTTACCATACTCCCAAAACACGTTATCACCTAAGACCCAGATCTTCGGCACTTTTGGCATCACTGGGACCCGGGGATACAACACCACCCGGCCAAAGACGTTCGGCTGCATTGCGAAGCAGTAATTCTTCCGAGACAACACCAACCCAACGTCCCATTCATCATCAACGTAGACGACGCTTTTTAACCGAAGACGAATATAGCCTATGTCTGCCCATACGGAAACGTAAAATTATAGCCGAGGCCAGACTTCCATTGCCGCGAAATAATGTGTGTCACACAGTGGTTTCCTATTATTCCATGGATTTTTCACTCATACGCGAGGAGTTCTCTCACGCACTTCATGGCAGATCATTTTTCGCAAGAGCAGAAAATAATCGAACAACAGAGCCATCTTTGGTTATTATATCACCCGAAGAAATACGAAATCCACCACCACCACCACACGAACAACCTCCAGCAGCTATTGATCAATTACAAAATTCAACATTGGATCAAGTTCGCCACATCGATTTTTCTCATATGATGCCAGGCAATTTGCAGGGTCAACATTTGTTGGTACCTCCACCACCACAACCCCATCAAGAAACTGCCGTCCATCAATCAAATATCTCGGCAATGGATGATGTACGTCAAGCTCCATCGAATCTGGGTGGTGATTTATCTTTACCCCTGAGAATGACATCCCAGAAACAATTAGCACCAGAAAATCTGCCATCATCCTTTGCTGCTACCGCTGGAGAAGCGAATAACAGCCTACAAATTGCTGCGGAAGATTTTGGAATACCACCACCGCCACAGCCGAGGGGGTAAATTAGAATTTGTTTCCCCCTCTTTTTTGTTCCCTTTTTCTGAGATTTGGAAATCGGTCTCTGGATCGATTTTTACCCTCTATTTCTTTAGTGATCCCCATCCCCCATGTAGTCTCCCTAGATCGTAGTTTTTATTGAACTTTTCTAGGGTTTTCTTTTGCTCTTCCATAAAAAGCCGTCAGCTCTTCTATGAGGAGATCAGAACACCAACTTGTGTTCCATGAGAAGACCTTCTGGTCTTCTTACCTTAAGCTCTTCTTCTATGAGAAGATCTTCAAGTCTTTTTCTATGAGAAGACCTTCAGCTCTTCTAGGAGAAGACCTTCAGCTCTTCTAGGAGAAGACCTACAGCTCTTCTAGGAGAAGACCTTCAGCTCTTCTAGGAGAAGACCTACAGCTCTTCTAGGAGAAGACCTTCAGCTCTTCTAGGAGAAGACCTTCAGCTCTTCTAGGAGAAGACCTACAGCTCTTCTAGGAGAAGACCTACAGCTCTTCTAGGAGAAGATCTCCAGCTCTTCTAGGAGAAGATCTCCAGCTTTTCTAGGAGAAGATCTCCAGCTCTTCTAGGAGAAGATCTCCAGCTCTTCTAGGAGAAGATCTCCAGCTCTTCTAGGAGAAGATCTCCAGCTCTTCTGGAGAAGATCTCCAGCTCTTCTGGAGAAGATCTCCAGCTCTTCTGGAGAAGATCTGCAGCTCTTCTAGGAGAAGATCTCCAGCTCTTCTAGAGATCTCCAGCTCTTCTAGGAGAAGATCTCCAGCTCTTCTGGAGAAGATCTCTAGCTCTTCTGGAGAAGATCTCCAGCTCTTCTGGAGAAGATCTCCAGCTCTTCTGGAGAAGAACTCCAGCTCTTCTAGGAGAAGACCTTCAGCTCTTCTATGAGGAGAAGACCTTCAACTCTTCTATGAGGAGAAGACCTTCAGCTCTTCTTCTAGGAGAAGACCTTCAGCTCTTCTATGAGGAGAAGACCTTCAGCTCTTCTTCTAGGAGAAGACCTTCAGCTCTTCTTCTATGAGAAGACCTTCAGCTCTTCTATGAGAACACCTCCAGCTCTTCTGGTCTTCTATGAGAAGACTTCCTCTGATCTTCTATGAGACGACCTCCTCTGGTCTTCTTTGAGATAACCTCTGACTTCTTTCTTCTCTTTCCGATCTTCCTCTTTGTGGTCTTCTATGGAAAGACCAACTTCCGGTCTTCTATGGAAAGACCAACTTCCGGTCTTCTATGGGAAGACCAATTTCTTGTATTTTATGAGAAGAACCATTTCCAACTACTGGTCTTCTATGAGATGACCAACTTCTTTCTTTCAACAAGAAAACTTCTGGGAGACGTCCTCCGATCTTCCATGATAACACCTCACCCCTTCTTCTATGAAAATATCTCCCCTGGTCTTCTTCGATTTTAGTTCCCCAGTTTCATTTATTTTTTTTCCTCCGATTTCAAGTCCTCTTTGGATCCTATTTCTTAAGTTCCGACACTCTATATGAAATGTGTAGTTATCTACCCCCCCCCCCCCCTTTCTGTTGATATTCCCCCTGTTTTTCTGCAAATCCTCCTCCAAACTTTTTTTAATTTTGTACCAAGTTTTGTTTAATAACATCTCCTATATTTTTGTTATACAAACCCCACTCAACACCTCCCCCATCCAATAGAGATCAAGTTGGAGACATTGAAATACCTCCACCACCACCAGCTATACAAGAAGCTGACGAGTTATTGCAGCCACCTTTTCCAGCATTGGATGGTACAAATACTTCGGCTCAACCAGATGACGTTTTAATGCCCCCACCACCGCCAC